GCTGGCCAGACGCTAATCAGGCTATCTCCCCCGTCGCAGCTGAGGCTCCGTGGACAGTGTCATCTGAACCTCCAACTGCAGGAGAAGTTCGTTCTTGCATCCAAGCCCTGAAGAAAGGAAAAGCGGCAGGACCGGGCTTCCTCCCACTCTTTTCAAGATGGGGGGCGATGACCTTGTAAACTCAAGTACTGATGTGATGCGTAACATCTCGTTAGACGAGTGCATTCCATCATCCTGGAGCGAATCACTGATCGTTCCCATTTTCAAGAAGGGATCTCGCAATGACTGCGCAAACCACCGTGCAATAAGTTTGATCCCAATCGTCACCAAGTTACTTCAACGTCTGCCACCGTTTAGGGAGACAAACATCCGCGAACAACAAGCAGGATTTCGACCAGGTCGCGGTTGTATCGATCAAATCTCCACCCTGCGTCAAGTCCTCGAGCTACTCCATATGCACCGTCGACCAATGGTTGTCGTGTTCCTTGACCTAAAAGGAGCCTTCGACCCAGTTGATCGTTAATCCCTTATGCGTTCACTCTGCAGAAGTATGTGAACATCGACAGTCTATCTTCATCCTGTTTTCCTAATGGCTAAGTTTCTTAGCCGCTTGTTGAACTGCCTGTGCATTGTCACCTATCAAGACGGTGTCATCAGCATTTTCTAGGTTAAGAGATCTGTTCCCTGGGAGGAGTTTCACTCCACCGTTTGCTAAACCGGACAAAGCGTCCTGGCGAATTTGGAAAGGAAAGGGGATATAGGGCAGCCTTGTCGAACTCCACCGGGGACGGCGAAGGGTGGTGAAAGCTGGTCGTAGGCCCTAACCTGACCTTAGATATGACGATATAACTCTTTGAGGATCAACACATACTTCCCTGGTACAGCATTCCTCAGCAAACAGCTCCATAGTGCGGTCCTATCAACAAAATCGAAGGCTGCGCGAATGTCTATGAACAATAATTGTTGGTCTATGATAAGCGTGACGGTGCTCAAGCAGCTGTCGGAGGGTGAAGATCTGATCGATGCTGCCACGACTGTCGTGAAATCCAACCTGCTCCTCACGGGTATGTTCCTCAGGCGATTTTTGCAATCTTCGAAGAATGGTGGATGCTAACAGCCTTGACGCTATTGGGATAAAGCTTATACCTCTATGAATGGCGCAATCATTGCGCAGAGCATTTTTAAAGATGGGGAAGACAATTGCCTCTCCCCACGAGGAGGAGATCTGCGCGATGTTCCAAACTTGAGAGAACAGGGCTTAGAGTTCTCTAACAAGCTTTATTCCACCATCTTTAAATAGAACTGGAGGAAGGTCATCAGAGCCCAGCGCTTTGTGACGTCCTAAGGCTTGGATCTCCTTATGGATTTCTGCCTCAGAAGGTGGGTCTGATGACGCTGATGGCCAGCTAAGCTGAATTTTGAAGTGCTCCGCCCAGCGTTCAAGACGTCGCTGTCGATTGTAAATAAGCGAATCGTCAGCTTCACAGCTCGTTTCGCTCACACCCAGATTTTTTCTACCGCTGACTCGGATGAGATAGAACAGCTTACGGTAATTTCTCATGGCAGCAGCACGTTCCATTTCTGATGCGCGTTGGGACCACCTGATTTCACGATCTCTTCGTAGGCTTGCGTTAAGTTCACGTCTTACTACAAGCCGTGTTACGTTACACTCGCTGCTGGTCGGAATGAACCTAGGTGCGTCAAGAAGGCGCAGAGACTCAGCGGAAATCCAGGGTGTCACTACATGGCGTGTCAGACCACAACTAGCTAAGCCACAGAATGCAGAGCATTCTTAATAAGTGACCGGTGCTCACTGATATTATTGGGTGGGGTTGGTTCCAGCTTTTCATCTAGTGCCTTTTGAAAGACGGATAAGCGTGCTGGTCGCGACAACTTATCGCAGTCTAACCGCTGCTGTGTCGTACGTTTAGGACGCCCACAGAAGCCAATGGATAGCTTAGTGCAAACTAACGCGTGATCGGATTCGAGGGTAGTGCTCCAGTACGATCGGCAGTCTTGTATGCAACCCGTCATTTGCGGCTTATAGTGATGCGGTTTATCTGCGTTTGTCGCTGATTCGAGGACGGTGGACGCCANGGACGCCAAGCGGCATATCGGCAGTTGGAGTGCCTAAAGTGCGTACTGGCGAGGAATAAGCGGTGATGGAAACAGATGATGATCTGTCCAGAACTGAAGAAAGTCGATCACCATTATCTGATCGCTGGCAGAGTACAGCACACCTAGGCAAGCTTCTGATGCGCTATTTTCCAACCCTCGCGATAAAATCACTTGCGAGAACAACAATATCGAAGCTTCGACTCACTCGAATGAGTTCGGTGGATTTATCATGTAACTCATTTTTGTGAGTCAGAACTACAGAACGACGCTGAAATGATGAACAAACACCTTTTCGGACGCAGATAGACCCTTAGAGCCGCGTCGCACCTAAGTGACTGTTGACGTGTATTCAGTCAGTTGGTGACGCTTTGGCTGTAGTATTGAGTACAATGCCTAAGCGATCAGTGAAGCAAGCTTCACTGTATCTCGCTGTACGATGATGATGACGATGATGAATGCCTAAGCTACCCTGGCCTACTGAACGGGCTTCGTCGTCACAACTTGTGGAGTAAGTACCTCGAAGACAACTGGCTTATAGTATTACGATCCTGGATTCACATTTCCGATATGTAGCTTAAACCGTCGAGGAGGGAGAGCAAAATTTGAAGTTACTCCTCATACATGACTGCAGTATTCGAGTATCGAGCGGATTTGAGCTTTGTATAAACGGAGAAGGTTTGAGGCGTGAAGCAACGCTTTGCGTGTAATAGAAAACCAACTTTGCGCGCAGCGTAAGAGGCGAGGGTGAAAATAAATGGGAACTCACAGAAAAAAGAACTTATGGATAAACTCAGGAGGCAGAGAGGATTTATGGAACCGAGAGGCAGCGAGCCAAAAATCAATTGAGGAAAGAAACGGACACGTTTAAGAGAGATAGGGAGGATAGAAANGTAAAATCGCATGTGGAGACGAGTCAGAGGTCGGATGTTGAATCGCCTATCACGGGCATTAAATGTGGCTAAGTGAAATAGATATTTTGGTTTCAAAACTCTGTTAGCTTCTGGTTGGTTGACCTTAGTTGTTGAATGCTGAGTAATATCCCATGGGTGGCGCAAGCAGAATGCATCTCGTACAATTTGGGAGTGAGAAGAAGAACTGAACAGATGAGAAAGAGGGTTCTTTGAATGGGTACCCAATAATTTGGATCACAACATACTTAACGGTAGCCCATACCGTGATTTTTCTTTGGGATCCCTAACTGAAGCCTTCGATTCAAGTCTGTTCCACAAGGCAGTGGAGCGTAGATTCCACCCGGAAACGTGACCAAAGGTCAGAGGTGCGAGCTCCTAGAGACCTGTCACGCAAGGCCTTTGAATTTCGGTTAAGTTTGTTGTTCGCTGGTGCGTTGATTATCGGTCCGCTTTTCGGGATCAGCCCTCAGCCTCATGAACCCAATGAGACAAGCGGAACGTGGACGGGACAGTACTTTATTGGCTGGGGGGCTGCCCAGCTTGGACGGGCGGTAGCTGTCCAATGAAGTGCGAAGACTTCTCCCACCGTCGAGAGGAAGCCCCAGATATCCCGCTCCTACGTCCATCTAGTGGAGGATTTTCGACCGGTAAATTGCATCTCACCGTGTTTATTTACTGGAGTGACCTCTCCAGGGACGAGGGTGACTACTCAAAGGAAGCCAAGAGGTGCCCATGCAGCTGGAATTGTGAGATTGAGCTTCGTCTGGTCTCTACCGGTTGATTTTGGCTGCATGAGAGCTGCTGTGAGCAGCTGTTCTATATTGCTCACAAGGTCATGTAGGCACGCAAACCATCACAACGCGTCAAGGTACAATCTCCTGTGTTATCCAAATTGGTTATAAGTATATATATATATATATATATATATATATATATATATAACAAGCATGGTACCAATGCAAAACAATGATAATGAAGTTGTTACGAGGTACAAAGAAATCAAATGAACTGGGGAAAACAGAGAACGGGGAGAACAAATGAATGATTTGTAAGAAGCTTTGCTTGGTCCGGTTCAATACAACGCCTAACCTAGTGGGGACTTTAGTGATTCACCGCTCGAAGTCCCATGGTTTGAGTTACCGGTTTCCATCGCCGAACAGCATGTCCTCTTGACTATGGTGTTTTTCTCGTCTGCTTTTTATTACACTGTGAGTAATAAAAAAAATCAAAACGGATCCTTGAGTACTTAACAATGTTCGTATAAATAACTCTGATACAAATTTTCGGTGATAAGCAAACACACACTCTTGACAGATCGCGTTTGTGGTTTTTATGACCAGCCATCCTCGTGGACGCTGTCAAGATTGTGCTACATGATCGCGTGGCCTTCAGTCGGTTTCGTTATAAAAAGCATTCAGAAATACATTTTTCAGCTCTTTCAGTTTCCACTGAACTTTGCATTGGAATCTTAATCACAGTGATTTACATCAGTGCGTTAGAGAGCCAAGCTAAAAAGTATGAAGGAAAACTGTAGTGGAAGAAGTGCATAATAATATACTAACAGTTAACAAGAGTTTCATCAGCACAAGAGTTTGATTTATGAACTGTCTTCCTACCGCCTGTTATCTAGGTAAGTTTGCTCCGCTAGGATATTCGGAAGTACTTTAAAAACGGAAAGTGCAATAACGCTTCTTGAGAAAACATCATCCGATTGTGTATGTATTTTCAATCTGACCATGTTCTTCAAGTGTTATTCACTCTAATCCGCTGTTTTCAATGCCTTAGATGGACCTAATGTGTTCCGTTTTATTTTGCTCACCCTTTTAGCTTTGCAGCGGTCGCGCAATCCGCCTAGTTTCTCAGTGGCGCTTTTTGAGTTGAATTCCCTTTATTGTCTAATTAAGAATTAATTACGCGAATTCTTGTGGAATTGATGCACGATTTATTAGCTACTGCTGAGAAATATTTATTATGAAAGATTCTGGTCCTTCATCCATCGGTGAAAGGACTGGTGTTCTGATTCATGGTACCAGCGAGGATGTGCCACCAAACGCTATTTTGTTGTCACCGTCTGATGTATATCGCCTCAGGAAATCACAGCTCTGGTCCTGGAATAATCGTTCGGAAGTTTGGCCGTTGATTTACGGTCCTCGCTTGGCTGCGGCAACTGTCGGCATATCTTCTTTTGTTGCTAATATAAACGCAAGACAGTTGTTCAATCTACGCGGACAAAAATTCTTCTGGTCTACCATCATGCCTACTCTGGCATTTCCTATCACCTGCTATTGGGCCGCCCAGGAACTTCTCATTAATCGCCCAATCCTATCTCGACCTCCTCAGCCGTGGAACGGAGAGGGGCCTTGTGACTTGTGTTTAGAGGTCCGCGCTTCGGTTCTTCAGGTAGGATATGGAGAATCGCTATCATTTTTCTATGTTTGAGTTTTAGAGGCTTGTTGACCAATGCGTTTTAATTGAAATAATAGCTTGATTTACGTGTATATATGTGTATATTCAGCACAGTAATTAGTATATGAATGACTCGAATGCTAACACTACCATTTTCGCGATTCTTGAATCTCGTCACGCATGTGTATCCGACAAGCATTCATCAGTTCATTCATTTAGTTGTGCTCAGTAGTATAATTTCGACACAACTTGCCATACCGAGTGATATTGTTTAGATCGATCATTCAATATAATTTATTGTGAAATATTCTATCAAGACAATTTAGCCATGCTTTTTGCCGTTGATAGCATCCCATCACGACGAGACTGCACCTTGATGTTGTGCGATGGCTTGCGCGCCTCCATGATCGTGCGAGCTATACAGAATTTCTCCTCACAGCCGCAGATCCAATCATGCCTGAAAGGTCAACGGGTAGAGGCCAGACGAAGACCAGTCTCACAAGGCCAGCTGCTTGGGCACCTCCTGGCTTCTTTCTTCTATCCACCCCCGCCCGTGGAGAGGTCACTCCAGTAAATAAACACGGTGAGATGCAATTTACCGGTCGAAAATCCTCCACTAGATGGACGTAGGAGCGGGATATCTGGGGCTTCCTCTCGACGGTGGGAGAAGTCTTCGCACTTCATTGGACAGCTACCGCCCGTCCAAGCTGGGCAGCCCCCCAGCCAATAAAGTACTGTCCCGTCCACGTTCCGCTTGTCTCATTGGGTTCATGAGGCTGAGGGCTGATCCCGAAAAGCGGACCGATAATCAACGCACCAGCGAACAACAAACTTAACCGAAATTCAAAGGCCTTGCGTGACAGGTCTCTAGAAGCTCCCATACAGGTGCTCCGTTCACGCTCCCGCGTTGGATTTACACCCCACTGCCTTGTGGGTCAGACTTTTGAGTCAAAGGCCCCGGTTAGGTTTCCAAAGAAAAACCCATTCGGCGGTGAGGGGCTGCCGCGAAGTATGCCGTGCCCTAAGTCTTGGGTATCCATTTGGAAAACCATCTTTCCCATCTGTCTAGTTCTTCTTCTCAACCCCGAATAATCCCAGATACCTGTTTACAGCATCCATTGAATATCACTCAATGTTTTACTATCAAGGCCAAAGATTCAGAAGCTATAGGATTTTTAAAGCCAAAATCCCCTTTTCATTTAGCCGCGTTCAATGTCCGCACGCTCTATCAGATTGGCCAACAAGCTGCCCTGGTTAGAACCCTCGAAACTTTCAATGTAGATGTATGTTGTGTCCCCGAAACACGCATAAAAGACCCCACTTCCATTATCTCTCTGCGTTCTCCTGATCCAACCTCACGCTTCACCCTTCGTGTGTCAGGCAATTCGGCATCCGAAGCTCGCGGTGTTGCTGGTGTCGGGATTGCGCCAAGTGCCAAGGCTGAGCGCTCACTTCTTGACTGGATTCCAGTCAGTAGCCGATTGTGTGCTGTACGTTTCAACGGTTCAGTTCGAGTCAACAGCTAAAGAACGAAGCGTCGATGCTTATTCGTCGTATCGGCGTATGCACCGACCGATTGCAGTACACCTGAAAGGAAGGATGAATTCTACAAGGATCTTCTCAATTACTCCAAAGTGCTCGGTCAATGGACCTCGTAGTAGTCGCCGGAGACTTCAATGCTCATGTGGGATCCCCGGACGAATCGGAAAGGCCTCTTGGCGGATCACATGCAATCCCAACCAACCGGACGGACAACGGAGATCGCCTACTTCAACTCTGCACGGACCACGGATTGTTCCTGTCAAACACGAACTTCTAGCAAAAGAAACGCCATCGACTTACATGGAAACCGCCAATCTCTTCACTGCGCTGGACCCAAATCACCATCAGTTACCTTTGGAGGGGATCAATTCAAGACTGTCGCTCTTACTGGTCAACATCTGTGGACACAGACCACGCCTTGTTACGAGCCAAGTTCTCCTTACGCCTGGCAAGCAACCGCAAAAAAGCCACCGACAACGGATATCCGCGATACAGTGTGAGTGATTCATGAAAATTGGCCTTCGAAGCGGAGCTCTCCGATCGCCTGTCTATTCAACCGCCGACCGAAGGACCCAATAAACACTGGA